TTGCCCAGCCCCCCCCCCACAAAAATCTAATTGTCCGTCCCTAAAGGAGGTAGGCATTGTTTTCTTTTGTTTCTGATTTAACTATTCTTCTGCACGTTACGTCATCGCGCCTCTCGGGGGAGCATTTAACAAAAGAACTTTATCAGCATACGTTGTTAACAGCACAAAGATGGCGGCCATGTTTGTTTTTTTTTTTTTTGACTCTCGAGAATGCTAGCCTGCGTCACATCCGGAATTTTCTTTGTAAATATTTACGGTAATTACGAAAAAAAAATATTATACATTCAGTCGAAATTTCCGAATACAAAAGGACACCCGTGGTCAAGTACATTCAGTCGAAATTTCCGAATACAATAGGACACCCGTGGTCAAGTTGAAATTGTTTTGAAACGGTAAAATCATTTTTTTGAACCAGAAAAAAAAGTTAAATCACAAGTTCCGTTTTGTAGAGTCGTAAATGAAATAGTTGGATCTCTGATCTCAGTTTTGAAGTGGCTGTTGTGTTGGGTGGAAAGATAAAATAAGGCGAGTACTGTTATGTAGCAATAGTATTTATATATAAATACTATATTATGCCTTTTAGGTCAAACGTTGAACTTCGGGCTGCATTTGGCGAGAGCTAAATAATATTTTACATATATATTCAATTTTAAAAAAAAGATTGTCGTTGACCGGCTCAAGCCTACGACTGGATCCAAAAGGAATATTGGTACAAGTTGACAACAGAACAGACCTTTGGTTAGCGAATGACGTGTTTTTACACATATCGTGTAGGCTTAAGCCGGTCAACAGTGTCAATGGTTAGACAGCTGCGTAGCGGCGCTTTGGCAAAAAAAAAAAAAAAGGCAAAAAGCTATGTAGAAAGCGCCGCTACGGAGGATAGTCAATGGACGACAATATGAGTGAACCGTATATCAAAATCCAGCCTGATCAACAGCAGTGCGGTCAATGCGGCAATGAATCAATCAAAGTAGCATAGCAAGGACCAACATCTCGCTAGAAGTGCTTATCTAGGTCATGCGAGCTCTAATTTAAATGTAAGAATATGTGGACCGCATAGCACTTATGAAATACATGAAGATATAGATAAGTTATAGTGCTTGGGAACGAGGGTATTACGGGCGAAAGCCCTTGGAATTAAATTCGGAAAAATTAATTTCCGACCTCCCTGGCTTTCGAGCGGAATACCCTCGTTCCCAAGCACTATAACTTATCTATATTTCTATATCTTCATGTATTTCATAAGTGCTATGCGGTCCACATATTCTCATCTTTGCATCACAATTACCGCTACCTAACATCTATTTCAACCCGGCCTGCTCTCAGTCTGACCTCTAGCTCAGCTGGTAGAGCATCGGTAGTACAATTCCGAAGGTCGTGGGTTCGATTCCCAGCGAGGTCGGAAATTAATTTTACCGAATTTAATTCAAAGGGCTTTTGCCCGGAATAACCTCGTTCCCAATCACTATAACTTATCTATATTTCTATATCTTCATTTAATTTAAATGTAGCCTCCTTCGCAGATGTTCTTAAAAGCCGTCTGCAATATTCTTATAATGAACTAGGCATTTCCGATTTAGCGGCATATGAGCGGAATAGGCATATACTAGCGGAATAAGCATTAACCAGCGGAATAAGGCTAGAATCATCGTTATGACCATAAAATTCAATAAGATAATGAAACAGCTTTCAGTAGACCTGTTTTATTTAACTTAAGGTATTGCACAATTATAATCGTTAACACTACCTGTTTTATTAGCTTAACTGACGAGCAGTGTGCTCGAGAATAAGATCTCGTCCCGTTGAAACGCAGTTATATAAAAAAGTTGCGTTCATAATATACTAATGTAAATGCTCGCCCTTAAATTTATAAAAGAACTAAGAATGCTAGCATATAATGTAGAATATCACTACGGTTATTATTTTCGAGAAGTTTTCCTTCTGCATGGACACGTACGTATCGCTAACATATAGTTGATATGTGGATGCCTACTGAGATTGTTCACTGCCTGTAAACAC